GGCACATAAAGTAGGAGCAGCATTCCATCTTCCACATGGTAGATGTGTAGCAGTATTATTACCACATGTCATTAGATATAATGGACAAAAACCAAGAAAACTTGCAATGTGGCCAAAATATAATTTCTATAAAGCTGATCAAAGATATATGGAACTTGCACAAATGATTGGACTTAAATGTAATACACCAGCAGAAGGAGTTGAAGCATTTGCTAAAGCATGTGAAGAATTAATGAAAGCTACTGAAACTATTACAGGATTCAAACAAGCAAATATTGAAGAATCAGCATGGATGAGTAAAGTACCAGAAATGGCACTTCTTGCATTTGAAGATCAATGTTCACCAGCTAATCCAAGAGTACCAATGGTTAAGGATATGGAAAAGATTCTTAAAGCTGCATATTATCCAATTGCTTGAATAGATAATTAATTACTTCTTTATAAAATAAGGTAAATTTAATTTTATCATAAAGATATTATAAGAAGGAATAAAATTTATTTTTTTTTAAATAAAAATATTATTCACAGATAAAGTTTTGAAAGTAAAAAATTACTTTTGATATTTTTAATTAATAAATGAAAGAAAGTCTTATCATATCATAAAGTTATAGATTTTCAAATTGTAATATATATTCAATTTATTTTCTATTAGTAAAAGTGTTATTGTTACATCTATTAGAATAAAGTCATATTAACAAAATAGATTGACTTATAAAGACCTCCTTTGATATTTTTTTGTTTATTCTCATTGAATTATAAAAATAACAAAGTTGAGATTATTTAAAGGTTGACATAATGAATTAACAAATACATTAATAAAAATAATGGAACAAATATGTATTAATTCTCCAAGAAAAAGAATTTATCATAACATTCTTGAAACTATTGGAGGTACACCATTAGTTGAACTTCATAGAGTAACAGAACATCCAACAATTAAGAAAGGAACAAGAATCTTAGTTAAATTAGAGTATTTTAATCCAATGTCATCAGTTAAAGATCGTGTTGGATTCAATATTGTTTATCAAGCTATTAAAAATGGAAGATTAAAACCAGGAATGGAAATTATTGAAGCTACTTCTGGAAATACAGGAATTGCACTTTGTCAGGCTGGAGTTGTTTTTGGATATCGAGTTAATATTGTAATGCCATCAACAATGTCACTTGAACGACAAATGATTATGAAAGCATTTGGAGCAGAATTAATTCTAACTGAAGGAAAGAAAGGAATGGCACGAGCTATTGAAGAAGTTAACAAAAAGTTAAAAGAAAATCCTGGAAAATATTTTGTTGCAAACCAATTTTGGTAATCCTGATAATACTACATCACATTATTATACTGCTAATGAGATTTGGGAAGATACAAATGGAGAAGTTGATATCGTTGTTTCTGCTGTTGGAACATCAGGAACTGTTATTGGGATTGCTGAGAAATTAAAAGAAAAGAAAAAAAGAATTAAAATAATAGCAGTTGAACCAGAAGAATCAGCAGTATTAGAAGGTAAACCAAAAGGACCACATGGAATTCAAGGAATTGGAGCAGGTTTTATTCCAGATATTTATAAGAAAGAATTTGTTGATGAAATAATACCAATTAAAACACAAGAAGCATGGAAAATGGCAAGAATAGTAGTTAAATATGAAGGAATTATGTGTGGAATGTCAAGTGGTGCAGCAATTTTAGCAGGATTAAAAGAAGCGGGAAAATCAGAAAATGAAGGAAAAACAATAGTTATTATTGTACCATCATGTGGAGAACGATAT